GGCTGCTCCTTGGGCTGTGGTTGCTCCTCGGGTGGTTGTGGTAGCAGCTGCTCCTCAGTTGGCAGAAGCTCCTTTGGTGGGTGCTGTTCACAGCTGTGGTGGCTCCTCTGGCTGGTGGGGTGAGTCTTCACACACAGCTGCTGTTCCTCAGACAGAGGGTGTGCTGATCAGGAGGCTGCTGTTCCTTGGATGGGGGTGGGCTACACATGCAGTTGCTACTCCTTGAACTGGGGTGGGCTGCTCATGTGGCTACTGTTCCTTGAATGGGGGCTGGCTGCACGCTGCTGTTGTTCCTCTGATGTGGTGGGCTGCTTGTGGGGCTACTGCTCCTTGGACTTGGACAGGTTGATTGTAAGTCTGCTGCTCCTCGGACGGGGGTGGGCTGCTTGCACAGCTGCTGTTCTTTGGACAGGAGTGAGCTGCACGTGTGGCTGCTCCTCCTCGGACGGGGATGTGCCACTCACCCGGCTGCTGCTCATTGGACAGGTGCAGGCTGTTGTGGCTCTGCTCCTCGGACCGGTGCATGCTGCACAGGGCTGCTGCTCTTTGGACGTGGGCGGTCTGCTCGTGTGGCTGCTGCTCCTCGGACTGGGGTGGGCTGCTGCTGCTCCTCGAATGGGGATGGGCCACTCACAGAACTGCTGCTCCTTGGATGAGGGCGGGATGCCCACACAGCTGCTGTTCCTCGGATTGGGCAGGCTGCCCGTGTGGCTGCTGATGCTTGGACGAGGACAAGATGCTTGCACAGCTACTGCTCCTCGGACTAGTGTAGGGTGCGGGCTGTGCACAGCTGCTGCTCCTCGGACAGGTTGGACTGCTCGCATGGTTGCTGCTCCTCGGACAGGGAAGCGGGCCGCTCACAAAGCTGCTGCTCCTTGGACAGGGGCAGGCCACATGAGGCTGCTGCTCTTAGGCCCGAGGCAGGCTGCTCACGGGGCTGATGCTCCCTGGACAAGAGTGCACCCTCATGTGTCTGCTGTTCACGTGGTTGAAAAAATAATGTGAAAAAGGGTAGGAAATAAAGGAACAAACAAAAAAAAAAAGGAGAACTAAGATAAAAGCAAAAAACAAGAGCAACAAAAAAAAGGGAAAACAAAGAAGAAAGCTAAAAAAAAAGCTAACAA